TTGTACTACAACTTCAAGGTCTCACTGTTGTGTTGCAAAAACCCAAGGCCCATCCACGAGGGAAATACTTGAAAAGGCTGGAGAAGCACAAAGCTGAAGCAGCAATCCAGGTGGATGGGGTTAGTTGAGAGCCTTCCTGAGGCATGGTAAGTGCTAACTCAAGAGTACTCAAGTCTTGAGCTTAGCTTAACTATTTTTTACCACTCTGAATTGTCAGTAAAAAAAATACCCTTTTTGTCTTTTTTTCCCCCCAGAGCTGAGGACCGAACCCAGGGCCTTGCGCTTGCTAGGCCTCTACCACTGAGCTAAATCCCCAACCTAAAAATACCCTTTTTGAAAAATTGATTCAATGCCCAGTATAATGGCATACAACTGTAATTACAGAACTCAAAGACTGAGGCAGGAGGATTGCCATGAATTTGAGGTCAGCCTGACCTATAGACTGAGAATTAAAAACAAAAATCTATCCAGTTGTGTTCCTTTTTTAACCACATCATACACAAGTCATCGAGTCATATGCAGCGTGGCTTTTGCAGATTGCCTCCTCAGCTCAGGGTTTGCATAGTGACAGTTGGACAGAGGGCAAGGTGCAGTGGAAAGAGGCAGGGGTGCTTGAACCATGTCTCACCTGTACCTGGGTCTGTACCCTCAGGCATGCTGGATGCAAAAGTGTGAGACACATTCAAAGTTCTTGATTTTAACATTTCCTACTTGGGAAGAAATGAGTTTCTTCTGATATTCCTTTAAAAAAATTTTTTTCCCCTTATAGATCAGGCTATCCTTGAACTCAGAGATCTGCCTGCCTCTACCTCCTCTGTGCTGGGACTAAAGGCATGTGCTACTGTTCCTAGTGTGATGTCTCTTTTAAGACTGAGCATTTCTGATTCTAGATTAGAGGCTTTTTGTGTAATTTTTTAGAACCATTCATTTATTCAGAGGCAGAGTTTGGCATCTCTACCCACTGGGAACACAGATGAGAACTAGGAATAAAGCCAGTAAGGTTCTAAGCATCCAGCATGTAGCTGAACAAAGAGAGTTCCTTGAAGAATACACTGAGCCTGCCAGTAGAGTTCACATCCTGTGTGGAGTTGGAATGGAGTCTGACAGGGTTTGTGAATAGCTAACACAGGACTCAATTCTGTTCTGAAGCCACGTGCTGCAGGTGGCATTGTGAATGCTCGTCTAAGGTCAAATTCAGAACCTGGAGTGGCTGTCATCACTGAACTCTGTTCTCCATAGGTACCCCTTCTACATGCTTACCTGCATCGACATGGACTGGAAGGTGCTCACGTGGCTCCGTTACACTATGTGGATTCCCTTATACCCTATGGGCTGCTTGTCAGAAGGTATTTTTAGAAACTTTAGGTCTCATAGTGTAGCTCCCAGGTGTGACCAAGGGGTTAAAAGCCAGTTTTCTGATTCTGCCAGCCTCAGTCTAGTGGGGTGGTGTTAAGACTGAAGGGATTTCTTTCCATACTTTGCGTACTGTTCCAGAGACACGGGGCTCCTTTCATGTTTGGAGCAGAGTGCCCATGTGCCGCACGTGCTTTGTTTGCATGCTATTCTTAGTATCCCAAAGTGAGCTCTTGTTAGTAACTTCATTTTATTCTGACAACCCCATAGTAAGTGGATCAAGCAGGGATTCTTTTCCCCCCACTTTATAGGTGAGGAAACAGAAGCCCAGTGCTAGGGCTGTCCTCGTCAGTCTCTGTTGACAGCTTAGAGGCAGTGTGAGGGCTTGAGGGAGGAGGAAGCCTCTCCTGAAGCCTCAGGCTGGAACTAAGGCCTGAGCTCCTGGAGGCTGTTGCTTCATGCACCTGTTCCACTTGCTTCTCACTGTCTGTTTGTTTCCAGCTGTGGCAGTGATCCAGTCCATTCCAATATTCAACGAGTCAGGAAGGTTCAGTTTTACCTTGCCATATCCAGTGAAGATGAAAGTCAGATTTTCCTTCTTCCTGCAGGTTTATCTTGTAATGTTATTCTTAGGTAAGTACTAACTACATATACACTTCTGTCATGTTTTAGACAGTGTAGCTAGGCAGTTCAGTTTCCAGCATCCTTGTTACAATTTTACTTCTGAAAGAGTGGCGGGGAGGGGGGGGAGTTTTCTTTTTCTTTTTTTCTTGTTTTTTTCTGGAACTGAGGACTGAACCCAGGGCCTTGTGCTTGCTAGGCAAATGCTCTACCCCTGAGCTAAATCCCCAACCCCGGAAAGTTTTCTTTGTGAAGACAGACAGGGTAGGAGAGTATGCTGCACATGGAGATCTTTTCTTTCAGGTCTATGGTAGCTGAACTATGACCGCTGTTGGTCACTGGAGTTTGTGGCGGAGACGGGTATTGGGGAACTAGCTCAGGTTCTCTTGGTGAGCAGCTAAGGGGCTCTTCGAGAGCAGCAGGAGATGGCAGTTGTGCCGCACGAATTCCGACCTGCTCGGGGCTGAGGCAGGGCTGCTTAAGCACAGCAATTTGAGCCCCGTCTCAAAATAAAAAGCTGAAATAGAGCTCCTGTCACGTTTACCTGAGTAGTACAGTAATTCCTAATCCCCATGGTAAGAGGTGGAAATATAAGCCGGGCAGGGGCACCCCTTTAATTCCAGACTCGCAGGAGGTAGAGGCAGGAGGATCTCTGAATTTGAGGTTGTGAGTGAGTTCTAGGACAGCCAGGGCTCCACAGAGAAACCCTGTCTCCTGGAGGGGGAAAAGGGGTGGAAATACAGCTGGTGGCAAAGGAAGGAGGGAGTGATGGCCCCTGAGGTTGTTGGGAAGCTTCCTGCTGATCATGACCACCTACTTAGTAATTTAGATTTGTCTAAAACACAAATTCTAGATTAATTCATACAAGCTAAGAACTAATGGGAACAAGAAATAAACCTTCGGGGTCTGGAGAGATGGCTCAGTGGTTAAGCGCACTGGCTGCTCTACCAAAGGTCCTGAGTTCAGTTCCCAGCAACCATCTGGTGTCTCACAGCCATCTATAGTGGGATCTGATGCCCCCTTCTGGCATAAAGAAATACATGCAGATAGAATACTCATACATAAAATAAATAAATCTTTTAAAAAAAGAAACAAATATTCACTCCTACAGTGACAAATTTCCTCCAACAAGGACATACCCACTCCAACAAAGCTACACCTCCTAAAATGCCACTGTATGAGATTATCGGGCCAGTTACATTAGCTACCGCACCTGCTCCATTTGACTCTGTAGACTTGAAGAAGCCTAGCTGTCTGTCTTGCTGGTAACAGCAGGTTCAGCCACTGACAATGTGCTAGTTCTCCTGGTGTGTAACAAATTAGTAAGACTTAGCAGCTGAAAAGCACGGTTTTGTTTTTTGTTTTTTGCTTTTTTTTTTAGTCAATTTCTGAGAGCTAGCAAGTGGCCTAGGAGGTGCTTTTGGTTCCAGGTCTCAGAGACTTCGAGTGAGAGGCCTGCTGGTGCTGTAGCTCCCATAGATCGGACCTTCTTCATAGGCCCGACGGAGCATTAGTTCTGAGCTTATTCTTGTGGTTGCCACAGACCCTCTCCATGTGGCTGCTCCTGACATGTCTTTACTGAGTGAGAAGAGGTGATTAGAGAGACAACCAGAAGCCATAGCACCTTCTGTAACTTAATAGCAGAAATGCATGCCATTATCCAAACTGGCAAGGTATGAAATACCTGGAGGAGAGGCATCATAAAGATCTCTTAGAGGCCGCCACCCTGAACGGCAAGATGAACAGTGCAAAAGCCCTGAGAAGTTAGAAGGCCTCGTGATCTGTCACTTAGTGCAGACCTGTATCCCTTAGGACGCCCCAGGACCTATTAAGAAAGCTGGAGTCCTGTGTGGTGGCTCACACTTGTAATCAGAGCAGGGAGACTGAGGCAGCACGACTGCCTCAAGTTCAAGGCCAGCCTGGGCAGTAGAGTGAGACCCTGTCTCCAAGAAAAGGTAGAAATATTTTAATGTGCACTGACTATTATCTTTCCTTCATGGTACTATTGCTTAATTTGCAAGATATGTATATATTATTCTTCAAAATGAAGTAAATCCCAAATTGACAACTTCAGGTTTTAACCAGGTAGTGTATGTTCATAGGTTCATAGGTCAAGGAGTTTTGTTTTTTTTTTTTGTTTGTTTGTTTGTTTTTTTTTCGAGACAGGGTTTCTCTGTGTAGCTTTGCGCCTTTCCTGGAGCTCACTCTGTAGCCCAGGCTGGCCTCGAACTCACAGAGATCCGCCTGGCTCTGCCTCCCGAGTGCTGGGACTAAAGGCGTGCGCCACCACCGCCCGGCTCAAGGAGTTTTTATACACCATTCTTTCACAGGAAGTCTGAAGTGTGTTTATCCCTGTTGTACAGATGAGGGAACTGAAGGGAGGCAAAGCTGCAGAACTCACTGTTGACTCTGAAATTCCGTCCCTCACTGTGCTGTACTTCTAGACTGCTGCCTACTAAACGTGTTCTTGAACAGCCTTGCTTTTTTTGATTTGGGCATTTCATTAAATGCTGAGGAAAAACCAAAAAAAAAAAAAATAGTTTACTCCTACATAATTGATAAAGTTCAAGAAACTGTATTGATGATTATATCAATATTAAAATGCCTCAAAAAATGAGATAGGCAGTCAGATGAACAGATTATAGGAGACTGATGATAAAAAGTTAAATGTAGAGGTTGTTTACTCTACAGGATTTATCCTTGTCTAAGCCTGCATGACAGAGCATAAGGAATGATGCTCTAGGCCCCTGAGGGCTTGGGCTGGGACAGCTCAGTGCAGTACTTACTGCTGGTGGGTTCTTAAGATGTATCTGAGCAATGCTGTGAGGAACCTCGACTTCTAGTTTCCAAGACATTTCTAATCAGTGTTTTCTTTTTTTACAGGGTTATATATTAATTTTCGTCACCTTTATAAACAGCGCAGGCGGCGGTATGGACAAAAGAAGAAAAAGCTCCACTAAAGAGAAATTTGGTAGCTTAGTGCCAGTTTGAGCGGATTCTGATTCTTACGGTTTTACCTTCTTGTACTGATGTAAAAGTTATTTTTTTTTTTTTAAAGTAAGGCTATCTCCTTTCCCCAGTAACATTCCTGAATTTACTGTATTTTCTCTTAGTGTTGTACTTGCATGACATGGATTTCTGACATCTGACACCAGGTTCGTTCTCATGTATTAATGACAGCTAGACTGGCCCTGCACCCTCTCATGACAGTCTGCTCTTCCCCACAGGTCTGTCTGTCTTTACAGTTAGGACTTGGTATTTCTGCTATTGCTTGTGAGAAACAAAAAACACAAGACTACACTTCTCCATTGAAGATTGTCAAAAGTGACCCAGGCAGAACCTAATATATATTATACTCAAGTTACTTGTGTAGGGGGTAGAACTGACTTTTTGAAAATCAGGTAAACTTGGTCATTGATTAAACATTTTTGAGTCAGAGTAGGGCTGGAGAACACTTTGTATTTGATGTCTTTTGGCTTAAAGACATTCATTCTACAGCACTTACCAGCATGGGCATCAAAGAGGCAGAGTGATTTAAAGAAAGCAGTCAGAACCTGGGACACCACGGATACTTCATTCCTAGCTAATCAGAACTGTCTGCAACACTGGAGAAAGAGGGAGCATTACTTGGAAACACTTGATATTATAAGTTCCAAATGTGAATGAGTGGCTACAGGGGTCGGAAGGGGACACAGACTGGGAGCTAGACAGCGGCCAGCTGTTGCGGAGGAGCCTGTGGCAAACGCAAACACTGGAGTAGGCCAGACACACCACGAGCTGTCTTGGGCAGTGCACACAGTCAGTCCACAACTCTGGACTAGCTCAGTCCATTTCCTTGTGTGTTTCTCTGAGTGATCAGTGAGACTATTTTTTTGAACTTCAAACTCCTGGTTTTTTGTTTGTTTGTTTGTTTTTAACTTGTGTGCAGTAGGAACTTGAGCTGGGAAATAACCAGGATTCCTGCAGGAAACCCCCCAAAAGGGGGCCTGAACAAAATACAGACCTTAGGGTTGGTCATGGTACAAGACATCTACAGTCTCCCTACCACATTCCATGGAAACTGGAGTGCGGAGGTAACGCCAGAAGCAGGAGCTGAAGGGTGGAACATCAGATCTGCCACTCCTACTGCTCCCTGGGAAAGGAGACTTGTGTTGTCTCAGTGAGCCCAAATTGGATTAGCCTTTCACTGTCTGGGCTGACACACCTCATCTCAAGGAAGAGCATTTCCAAGTCTGCAGCTGCCGTCCACGTTTGCTGGTGTTGCCCTCGGCGTTCCTTCCACTGACTGTGGCACCGACCGGGCAGGTCAGCTCTGCAGTCAGCTGTGCCGCAGCCTTGTGCAATCCCATGCTCTAGTTGCTGTTAGCATCCCCTCTGTTGCTGTCTGAGAAAGTGAAAGATTGTGTATTTCTATTAAAACATTTACAGTCAAAATCCTAATCATTTGTGTTTAAAGATTATTTAGTCTCGTGGTTTTCAAATGGATAAAGTCTTTGTGTAGACAAAGTATTGCATAGCACTTCAGCACGACACACCGCGAGCAGTGACTGGATGGAGCCCACCCGAGGGAGGGCTGATGGCAGTCGTCACAGAGTGGCAGGGCGGCCCTGCAGACACTGCTTTTGGAAGCCAGACTCTTCTGTCAGTGCTCTCTCAGAACCACTGGCCAGAACCCTGCTGAGGTACAAACCTTGATGTCAAAAACTAGGAAGTTAATATGGAACCCAAGAAATGTCAGAACTTAGGAAGCTGACATTTTGGAAGCTGAATTATATTCAAGGGATAAGATAGAGCAAAACAACATGTTTCTAGATGAAATCATTTTATAGAAAATCAAATATTTAATTTTCATTTAAAAACACGAACAGGAGTGATTTTACACGTGTGGTTACTGTCTAAAAATTGTACCTTGAGACACCTGAGCATGGCCACTGTATTTTAACAAGTTCTAAAAAATCTGAACCTCACTGGCATCAAGTTTGTACTCAGGCACGTTCTGGATGTCTGGATTGCTCACTCTAAGCACAGTAGTTTAAGAATGTCCTTATAATTGAGACATAAACCTGTAAAAAAGTTGCTTTCTGGATTGGGGAAGGCCCTTGCTGGGCAGGCTTCTTGAGGGCAGCAGCAGAGCTCTGTCCTCATCTGTCCAAGCTTCTCAGGAGCTGTGCTCAACATGGAACAAAAGCTGTTTTGGACTTCAAGACTGAGCCCCATACAGCTAGTGTTAAAGCCCTAGACAACCAGCCTTCCGACCTTTCTCAGACTGCAGTAGAGGCATTCCAGTTGGAGTGCTGCTTCTGAGACAGCTCAAGGTCGGTGGGTGGCTATCTGGAGCTGAATGGGCTGGAAAGGTTTGAACTCAATCGTTTTCAGACAAAATGAACAGCGAAGGGAAGCTCCAGAGGTCAGCGTCACAGTCGCTCAGTGCTGCTCCCTGAGAAGTCTGTGTGCAGGGGTGTGATGTTGTGGTCGTAGGCAGCATACTCAGAGGTGCCGGTGCTGGCCAGCTTGAGCTGCTGGGCAGCGTGGGTGAGCTGGAATGCTGCATCCGGGTGGGCTGTGTCAGGCAGCAGCGTGCACTCCCTCTCCAGCATGTCGGCCACCCCTTTAAGCAGGTCCAGGAAACCAAAGGCTAGGGCAGCTTTTCGTAACCTGTTCAGCTCCTGAAAGAGATGGACAGTTTTCTTCTCACAGTTTCCAAGCGCTCTGCTTCAAGTTAGTTCTTTTTGACCCTCAACTCAGGGAGCAGTTCTTTCAATAAGAGCCAGGGACAACAGTGTGATGCATAAGTGGTAAGTGGTGTCTGCAGTGTGCTCAGCAGCGAGATTAGTCAGCAAGCTGATCACAGTTAATGCACAGTTATGCCAAACACACAAAACTGCCTGCATACAGCATCCATGCTGACTGAGGGGACTCGTTTCTGTCTCTTAATCAGATATGAAAAGGGCTTGCTCCCAAGTCTCGGCCTCGTAACCTGGTGCCTCTCTGATGTAGACTTGGAGTGTGAGTGACAGTGACACATTTGCAGGGGACAGACCAGAGAGATACAAAGCACCCATTAACCACCAGGGCATGTTGTGGGCAACTGAGTAGCTGCTCTGGTCTCAGGCCTTGTTTACACAGGAAAGAGACCCCCTTTCTCATCTACTTGAGGAACTGAAGCAGCCAGTTGCCAGGTGCCTTTTCTATTTCTCAGACATGGCACTGGTTATACTGTATCAGGGAAGGTAAATGACCACCTCAATATGCAAGCATGTCTTCTTGAACACAACACCAGTAGGTATGTATACAAACTGCAAAGGTGGGCTGAAGCTGAGCAGGTCAAGGGCCTATGTGGATTATAGCTTTGGGGGTCTTGCTGGCTGAGAAGCTTTCTGGTTGAACTCTGATTAAAACTGTATTTTGTCCAATGTCCCCAAATTGCTATAACTAGGTTTAAAGACAGTATTGAATTGCTAGTAACTAGGTTTAAAGACAATATTGATAGAGGCAGTAAGATAATACCCAGGTAAGAAGGTAGGTGTGATATCCAGAAGAGATGCTCACCTGAGGCTACAGCTGCTATCTATCTACCTATCTATCCATCTATCCATCCATCCATCCATCCATCCATCCATCCATCCATCCATCCATCCATCTATCCATCCATCCATCCACCCACCCACCCATCACCCGAGGCTACAGCTGCTCTGTCTGTCTGTCTGTCCGTCCGTCCACCCACCCACCATAAGCCAGGGTCTCACTATGTAGCCCTGGCTGTCCTAGTGGGATTAAAGGCATGGCCACTATGCCCAGCATTTTATTTACATTTTTAAATGTATATTGGTGTTTTGGCTGTATGTGCTCCAAGGGTGTCAGATCCTCTGGAACCAGAGTTACAGACGGTTGTGAGCCACTGGGAGCTGAACCTAGGTCCTCTAGAATAGAAAGTGCTCTTTAACTTCTGAGCCCTCCCTCCAGCCTCTATATATTGTATTTAAAAACTGACAGGCTAGGGCCCATCTCACACTGCACCTAATCTAATTCAGCCAAACTCCAAAAGGACAAGGGGTAAGTGAGTCTGAATTACAGGCTAGCTATCTAGAGACCCTGTGAGCCTAGATGTCCCTGCTCTACCCCCACTTGTCACTTTAGTCCTTCCACCGTGTGGTTCTGGACTAGCTAGGGATGATTACAAAGCACATTCCTTTTCTAACACTAACTGTTAGGAAGTCCCCCGGAATCACATGCAGTGCTTGCCTGGGTTAGCCCTAACAATACCCACAACGAGGTGGTGAGGACAAGCCAGATGCAGGTCTCTTCAAGCTGCTGGCCTGAGCCACTCAGAGCAGCCTTCTACTGCACAGGACTGGATTGGGAGGGAGGGAGGGACAGACCAGCCCCTTCCGATCTCACTGAGGGGAAACTGACGCAGGAGTACCTCACTAATCAGGTGGTGCACATTCGTACCTCCAACTCCACCCACTGTAACACCATGAATCACTCATGAGGGTACATCCCCTCGGGACACCTTTTCTGCTCTAGTTCTGACAGTCTCACCTTATAGAATGTCTGTGTTTTTTCAGGGAGCTTCCTTGCATTTCTTAAGATCTTCTGTACATCTGTCTATGAGGCATAAAAAAAAAAAATCAATGTTAGAATTCTGTGGCTTTGAAGAAAAAACCCATCCCAGTAGCTTTAAGTGTTTAAAAACATGGAAATACAAATAGACTTAGTGTCAACATGAAGATTCCTTCTGAGATGATGTTAGTATTCTGCTCAACACTGGCAAAAACACCTCTACAAGGCTTGATGGTATTAAAATCAATTGTCTCATAGAAATAGACCCAGTAGACCCACATATCTATGGCTAGACCATTGATGGGGAAAGAATAACTGCTGTTGAGATAACTGAATGAGTGCAAAAAAAAAAAAAATGAAGTTGGACCCTTAGCTCACAGGACATTAAAAAAAAGATCAGCTCGCCGGGCGGTGGTGGCGCACGCCTTTAATCCCAGCACGCGGGAGGCAGAGGCAGGCGGATCTCTGTGAGTTCGAGGCCAGCCTGGGCTACCAAGTGAGTTCCAGGAAAGGCGCAAAGCTACACAGAGAAACCCTGTCTCGAAAAACCAAAAAAAAAAAAAAAAAGATCAGCTCAAAATGGGGCTGGAGAGATGGTTCAGTGGTTAAGTGCACAGGGGATTCCTGTCTGGAACTAGGTGATGCCAATGACCACCTAACACTATAAACACTGCTGAACCTGTACATTTTTAAATGGTTGAAATGGTAAATTTAATGTGTACTTTACTAAATAAGAAAACAAACAAAAACCCAGGGCTAAAATAGAGCAATTCAGTCAAAGCAGTTCTGAGCCTCCTGACCAGGAAGTGCTGGGGTCAGGGATAGACAAGGAAGGAACACAGAGAAGACGCCACAGTCCCCCTGGTCAAGGCAGGATTGCTTCAGTATCAAGGTAAAGGTCTCAAGGAGCCAAAGCAGTCAACAGAAGCACCTTGTTGTCAGCCTGAATGCCTCTTCTCAGTGCATTGGGGTTAGAGTACATTCACATGTAAAAAGGGTGCCCAAAGGGAAGGGGTCCCTGCACAAACAGAAACAAGGGACTGTGTCAGGGGAAGGGGAAAGGTCCTGAGTGCCTTTGCCTGAATGCAGCATTCCTAGGTAACATCATAACTCCCTGTGGAGCTGATTTATAAATTATAATGTAATGTGGCTAGAGTCCCCTGGAAGGGCACAACCATTAAGGGAACTGAGGGACCCTGGCCTTTCTCTGGTTTCTATTTTGCCTCTTTGCCACAAGAGAAGCAATTTTGCTCCTCCATCAATTTCTGCCACAATACTATCACAGGCACAAAGCTCTGGAGACTCCCAAACCCATGAGCCCAAACCAACCTTTTCTGTTTATAAACTGAACACACACACACACACACACACACACACACACACACACAGCCTTGGATTTTACGGTAGGGATAGAAGAAATAATCAGAAGATTTAGGCCTCTTCTGAACCCTGCTGTGGGGAACTTTCCCTTGAGAAGCCCCATCCACACTTGGGTCTATCTGACATTTTGTAACTCTTAGAGATGTCCACACTCAAGCTCTTAGGCCTGTCTTTCCTCTATGCACATCCCTTTCTTGTAACCCTCAAGCCTATACTAAAATTATTAAACCCTAACCCTGCTTCTTTAAAAAAACCAAACAAACATAACAGCCAGGTATGGTAGTGAAGGCCTTTAATCCCAGCACTCGAAAGGCAGAGGCAGGGGGATCTTTATGAGTTTAAGGCCAGCCTACTTTACACAACCAGGACAGCTAAGGCTACAGTGGAGTGAGACCCTGTCTTACCCTGCACCGAAGGAAAAACCCCCACTGCCTTAGCATGTGAGACTTTTAAACTAAAGTCCAATGCTGGCCCATGAAGCCACACCCCTACTAGCATGATCACCATTTGGTGAGGAAGATTCAGTTTTCTTAAGGGACAGGACCTCTGGTAGGTTACTTATGCTTTGGTGCATGGCTCTGTACCCATGTGTGCTGTGGGCAGCACTAATTGGATTTGGTAGGTTATTATTTTTTTTAAAAAAATTTTAAAATATGAATTTTGTTAGGGAGGTCCTGGGAGGAGTTGGAAGGAAGAGGGGTGGATGTGATCAAAATACATTGTACTAATGTACAAAAAAAAATATTTTTAAAAATCCAGTGCTGGTAAACTAGGTATGATGGTGTATGTCTGCAATCCCAGCACTTAGGAAGTGGACGCAGGAGGATTAGCATTCAAGGCCAGCCTATACAGTGAGTATGGGGCCAGCCTGGACTGTATGAGACTGCCTCAAAAATACAAAATAAATAAAAATAAATCCAATGCTGGGAAAACACACTTCTCTGGAAATGTTGCCATGCTCTCTGTTATTAGACAAGAAAAACTATACAAGCCATTTGCTTCTTTTGTGACCACGGTAGCAGGAAGCCCAGAACCAAAGTCCTCAAATACAATTACCATTTTGCCTCTGGTTCCAGGCACAACTGTTTCCATCTTTCCCTGGTTTTGTTATTGCTCTAAACTTTGTAAAAAATGATTTTGTTATACATGTTCTCACTGTAGGCCATCTCATATCCTTTTGGGAAATAAGGACAGACATTAGAAGTAAATGAATTACATAGGAGAGGAAAATCGACCGCCTCCGCTGCCCCCAGCAAAAAGCAATGTGAACAATGTCATTACCTGCAGGCCGCTGGGTTTGATCCAGACAGTCACATTCTGGGCATAACTGCGTTTGTTTTTGGGCTGTAGGGGGAATGGGCTCTTGTTGTCGTCCTCCCCATAAGGGTTTTCTTTAGCATCTGAAAGAAAAAAACAGCTTTGAAAATGACACCTGGCAGACACAATTACATTTCCAATTAGGCAATTAGCTTTTTGAATCACTCTTTCATCATTCAAGAAATTACATTAACTTCAGGCATGTTGGAGAACCTGTTCTCAATAGACAAGTCACTGTGATAGGAGATCAATCAGTGGGGACCTAGCTAAGTGAAAACCAGCTTAGTGTCCTTAAAGAAATTAACTTCACATTAGCTTTAGCCATAAAGCCAAAGAAGACAAAGCCAGCACCCGCACTGGAAACTTAGAGCTGCGTCACACATACAGTTCTTTGTTTAGCCCAGAATGCTTCACCCAATCTTTCCTTTCTTTTTTTTTTTTTCTTTTGTTTTTTTCGAGACAGGGTTTCTCTGTGTAGCTTTGACACCTGTCCTGGATCTCACTCTGTAGCCCAGGCTGGCCTTGAACTCACAGAGATGTGCCTGCCTCTGCCTCCTGAGCGCTGAGATTAAAGGTGTGCGCCACCACCGCCCAGCCACCCAAACTTTCTATGGTTTGAGAAACATCTACGCCTGTGCTAACATCCCAGCTACCAGCCACTGAGCACTGGACTTAAGAATTCAATTTTATATGTTCTTTCATTTTAAATTTAAATAGTCTATGTGGCTCGTGGCTATGGAGTCAGACAATATAATAGTCGAGGCAGGAAAAAAAAGCCCGAGTTGTAGTGTAAGACCTTGTTTCGAAACACTAACACACACACAAGTTTTTGCAGCCACGTTCCTTAAAGCCACTGCAGTTTCGTATGCAGATCAACAGGGTTTGAGTATTTGACCCTGCTACCTGAGTCAATGGAACTGCCACAAATTTACAAAACACACTTACATCTAGAAGCTTCCTTTGCTTTTTTGTTACCATGGTTTGGGCTGGACAGAGCAGGAAGTCTTACCTACCAGTTCTGGAAGCTTAAGTCCTTTGCCCAAATACTCATGTTGAAAACTAGAATTAGACCAATTTGTTAAACTGAGCCCAATTCCACCCCCACCCCCACCCCCATGGCAAGGTTTCTCTGTGCAGCTCTGGTTGTCCTGGAACTTGCTGTAGACCAGGCTGGCCTCGAACTCAGGGATCTGCCTGCCTCTACCCCGTCCTCCACCAGTGCTAGGATTAACGGTGTGGGTCACCATGCCTGGCTAAGCCCCAAATTCTACTTTTTTTATTCTCATATATTACATCCCAACCACAGTCTCCCTTCCCTCTTTCCCTCCCTACCCTGCAACCGCGGCCCCATCTCCCCTCTCTCTGGATCCACTCCTCCCTGTCTCCTTTCAGAAAAGGGCAGGCCTCCCAGGGATATCAACAACACGGCATATCAAAGTTGCAGTAAGACTAGGTACCTCCCCACATATTAAGGCTGGATGAGGCAGCCCAGTAGGCCTCAAAGCAGGCAAAAGAGTCAGAGACAGCCTCCGCTCCCACTGTGAGCCCCAAGTTCTTTATTCCTGATTTAGTCATTAATCCAAACACCTTGCAGGTATGGTGACTCACACCTGCTAACAGCTGTATAAAATAGTCAATATAAATATAAATGAAGATATTTACTTTAGTCAATAAAAATGTTTGTTTTCTCTGAGCTGAGAAAGTTAGGTACAAGCCTCAAACACTCTGGGGTCCTCCATGTATGCACCCAGCATCAGAGAGCTCAGGCAATGCTCCAGCAACACTCAGAGACATTCAGAAGAGCACGGAGACAAGCAGGTCAAAGAAGTGGAATCTGGTCTGGGTCATACCTGAAATGGGGCCCAACTGTGCCATTTTCCCCAGCCACGGGAGAGGCTCTGGGCCAGGCTCGAAGAGAGACATCATGAGGTTTGACTTCTTCTTGCTGTCAGCCTGTGAGTAGAGCATCCCATGCCACTCAGGACTAGATGGAGAGAAGATGGAGAGCAGAACGTCAAGCCTAGGACTGTTAAGTTCAAGAAGTCTAGGTTCTGCTTTTCTGGAGATACAGATTTAAGTTTTAAAGTCAGGCACATTACTCTTACCAAAGCCAAATCTTAAACCCCAAAAATGCACATAGTATTTACAATTCCCTGAGATACACATTAGCCAGACAATTGTGTGTGTACATTGAAAGCAGTTTAAAAGAGAAAAAACTTGCAAAGCACAGGAAGTAGTAGTCCAGGTGTAGAGGAGAAAAAGCTGAGGCCTACAGGTCCTTCCAGCTGCCTCCTGATGTCACAGCAGCCGCACCAGAGGCAAGGTGTTCCAACACAGTTAGGAAATACTCTGGCCTCCAGCTTCGGAAAGGGCCTAGGTGATTCTCATATTCAGAGTCAACAGTAGCTTGGGTGCCAAGAACTAGATCACGGAACTATTAAGGGCACTTGTTGCACTTGCAGAGGACTGGGGTTTGGTTCTGAGCACCCATGTTTGGCAGCTCACAAGCCCTTGTAAACTCCAGTTCCAGCCTCAGGCCTCCACGGGCGCCTGCACTCACCTTTACACATATACATGCACGGGTACACAATTAAAAATAAAGTCAATCTAAGAAAGAAAACAAATGTATTCTTCTTTCTGGAATTTTCACTCAAGCAGAGATGGAGAGAGACATGCTTCCTGTGATTAATCTTAACCTTTTGACCTTTTGTATCTGTCAATCTAGATATCTGTCATATCTGTCAACCCATGGTCAGAAGGCCTCCTCCTCTTTTCCAACACCAGGTGGTACAGGAAGGGAAGCAGAAAGCTGTGCAGATTTCATGACTTCAGAGAATATGAAAGCTAGCTCTTTCCTTATAGGGAAGGAATTCAATAGAGTGGCTGCGTGAGTTCTGGATTAAGCATGTAGGTTAAGAACTCTGGCTTGCGGGGTGGTGGTGGCGGTGGCGGCGGCGGCGGTGGCGGTGGCGGCGGCGCACACCTTTAATCCCAGTACTTGGGAGGCAGAGCCAGGCGGGTCTGAGAGTTCCAGGGCCAGAGTTCTTTTTTTTTTTCCCCCTGAGACAGGGTTTCTCTGTGTAGTTTTGGGGCCTGGGTCACTCTGTAGACCCGTGCCCCTTCAGTTTTTTATCTTTGTGACCTTGGGCAATTTCCTCTGTCTCTCTAAGCTTCGGTCTCCTCACCTCATGCAGTGTTGGGATGACATTTGTTAACATACATGACATACTCAGGAGGAATGCCTGGCACGTGGCATATGCTCAATGTTAGCAGCATCTTTCTCCCCATTTAATTCTACCTTCCCATTTTATAGACGAGGAACCTGAGTCCTAAAGTACTAAAGTTAACAGAGTCCTATAACCAAAACCCAGGCAAGCCAGACAGGATTTAAAAACAGGAAAACTTGGGGCCTGGAGAGATGGCTTAGAGGTTAAGAGCACCGACTGCTCTTCCAGAGGTCCTAAGTTCAATTCCCAGCTCCCACATGGTGGCTCACAACCATCTGTAATGAGATCTGGCGCCCGCTTCTGTATATACATAATAAATAAATAAATAAATAAATAAATAAATAAATAAATAAATAAATCTTTAAAAAAAAAAAAAAAAGAGGAAAACTTGCCAAGAAGTATGGTTGGTATAGCTGTAATCCCAGCACTTAGGAGGCTGAGGCAGGTGGATTATGGGTGTGAAATTAGTTTGGGTCATATAGCAAAATCTTCTCTCAAAAAATACAGTAAATATATGAATAAAACAACTAAGAGGAAAACAGAGAAAGCATGTACCATAAAATCAATGTAACTACAGAGGTCGCTTCACACTTTTCAGGACGATAAAGGAGTAGAAGGTAATGGAGGTAGGAAGGGTATGGCAGGGAAAGGAAAAGGTGACCAGGATCTTCCATTTCTTTCATTAATGTCTGTGAAACGTTTTACTGTGTAGTTCCCTTTGGGTCAACCACATACAAATGAAATCCTCCTACCCTAGTTGTACAATCGCCACCATCCCTTCCACTTTCAGGCTACCATGGAGCAGCACACAGAAGTTGGGTATTTTGCCAGCGATCTGATTGGCTGAATTTTCATCTTCATTGTCATCAGTGATGCCAGTACCCACCTCGTCACCTTCTGTAAAACAGGGGAGCGAGAGATTAGCTACGAAACTCTAAACTCTTGACTGTTTCTTGCCTTGAAAGGAAAAATACATGGAGCGGTAAAGGAATATTAAAACAAGTTAGAAAACCAGTTTTCCAATACATGTCCATATAAAAACTTTTCAATAATATATTATTAACCCCATGTATATGAAACATATAGAACAGACAACCTAGAGAGAAAAGGGATATTAAGATCCATGGCTAATTGAGTTTCTTTGGTGGATGACGAGAAAGTTTAGAAATGGATGGTGATGATGGCTATACAAACTCTGTAAATATTCTTTGAAAAGACACCACTTGGGCTGAATGTGGTGGCACACACCTCTAATCCCACTTGGGAGACGGAGACAGGTAAATGTCTGTAAATTTGGGGCCAGCTTGGATTACAAAGTGAGTTCTAGAACAGTCAGTGTTGTCACATAGAGAAACTTTGTCTTGAAAAACAAGACACCACTTCATTTTCTTTTTAAAAATGCACATGCACATGCCCATGTGTGCAGATGCACATGTACATGCACATGTGTGTGGAGGCCAGGGACAATCTCGTGTTATTTTTAGAAATGTATCCACTCCGAGCAGGTTTTTAATTGGCTTGGAGCTCACCAACCAGGCTCTAAAGACTGGCCAATGAGCCTCAGAGCTCCTCCTGTTTCTTGCCTCCTTAGCCTTGGGATTACACGCTTTTGCCACCCCATCTGGATTTCTCTTCAAAAACATTTGTTTGTTTGTTTATGAGACTGACCTACCCCAGGGCAACTGGCCTAAGAGTTTGTACCCACTCAGCTTTTTACACAGGTGACTGAACTCAGATTTTCGTGCTTGCAACTACACTATTTCCCAGCCCATCTAAAAAAAAACAAGCTAACCTTTCTTTCTTTTGGGGGAGTGATGGTGGGTACCAAATTTAGGGCTTTAGATTTGATTGACACATGCTTTACTACTGAGCTCATTTCTTTGCTCTAATTATAAATACTTTAAACGGGGAACCTATGGTTTATGAATTATAGCCCAGGGGAGCTGTATATAAAAACGATTTTGTACCATTCCTGTAGGAAATTCAATGAGATGCCATTTGGAGGATTGAGGCATCAATCTAAACAGAATCGGACAAAGACCTGCTAGGTGTGACCTAAGATGACAGCCCTCCCACAGCAGACACAAGGTAAGTACACAGTGGTTCCTCCATGAGCTGCTTGACTGAACTTTCCAACTGCAGGTTCTTTCCCACGCTGACTGCTGTAGGTGAAGGTTCTTTCCCACACTGACTGCTGTAGGTGAAGGTTCTTTCCCAC